CTTCTGCTGTACATGTATGTGGAGTGTTTAAAAATGTTAAAAGGATGAACTGAGTTGTCCTGTGGTTCACCAGGATTAAAGTATGTCATCGATCTGGAAACATGTCTCTGACAGCTGCTGTTCCCACAGCTGTCACCTTCTCAGCTCTGGTTAAATACTGAACCTGGACTCGTCTGGACTCTTATGGACTCTTTTGAGACAAGACTGGAGGAATCAACTGACTCAAGTAAATTAGCCAGTTTGTTCAACTGATCTGTTTGTTCATGTCAGGCATCATTTTATTCTGAAAATCCCATCAGCAGCAAACACAGATAGGTGAGCTTTGATGTCACAGAGACAGATAGGTGAGCTGTGATGTCACAGAGACAGATAGGGGAGCTGTGATGTCACAGAGACACAGACAGGTGAACTGTGATGTCACAGAGAGACAGGTGAGCTGTGATGTCGCAGGGACACAGACAGGTGAACTGTGATGTCACAGAGAGACAGGTGAGCTGTGATGGCGCAGGGACACAGACAGGTGAACTGTGATGTCACACAGAGACAGGTGAGCTGTGATGTCGCAAGGACACAGACAGGTGAACTGTGATGTCACAGAGATAGACAGGTGAGCTGTGGGGGATATGTTGGACTTTTATTTTACAGGTATAATCACTGCTCACTTTTCACATTAAGACTTCACATAAAAGAACTGAAGACATTTTAAAATATGATGCAGTGTAAAAAAAAAAAATACTCAACAGTGAATGAAAATGATGTCAGTTGATTTGTCTGTTATCTAAAATAATCAGTGGCTGTTTTGACCTGAAGCTAAAATAACTTCATGGTTCCATTTCCTCAAATGTGAAGATTTGCTGAACTAATATTTCAAAGATGTCACTTTGGGTTGAGGGATACTGTAAGAAGGTTTTTTGGGGTTTAATTAATGGAAAAATTTTTGAGTTTGTTCTGTAAAAAGTCAGAGGACATTGAAGAACGTCGGTCTCAGTTTTGTCTCACAGAGATTCAGTTCCTGTGATAGAAAACAAAGAATAGAGAATGAGTGATGTTGAATATCAGCATGGCTATGATTGTCTTCGATACCTATGACCAAATCACAGCCGTGCTGATATTCAGTACAACATCAGGACCTCGAGTGTGCTTCTATACAACAGTTCTACGAGCACCATATTAGTTACATATGCAACAACAGATTATGATTTGTTTGTTCATTTTAGCATTCATTTGTCTACATCAACACAAATAGTTCATCAACTGGACTGGTACTGGACTGTTGCTTAGCAACACATACAGACATTCCTGACTTGCACAGTGCACACTAGCTTCAGGTGTGCGCTAAAGTATCCAGGCTTCTTCCCTTCATCCTCTTCTGACAACCAGACATCATTTAATTCAAATGTTATTTCTGGGAAAATTTTCATCTTTGCAAAAGTTTGTTACAATCTAAGATCGATAACGGGCGTTAACATAAATCTAATTAACGGTTAAGTATAGTAATACATGTGGTTAAAAATCCCAGGGCTGTTATACTCTATATCAGCACTCGTGGAATGCCTGTTCTCCAATTAAATTACTTAGTAGGACCTAACTGTTGTATAATCTGATATTTGAATGTTGTTGCCACTGTACTTCATCGTGGTTTCCAGTGTTTCCATGTCGTTTTCTCTGATATCTAGTTTTTATATTTATATTATGAATTGTGAACTGCTTTCCCCATGAATACTTGCATCAAAAAATTCCATTTCATTCGAGAATCTCTTGTTAAGAGCTACTTCAAATAGAGGTTGTGTTTGTGAGTGTGTGTGTGTGAAAGTGGTGTTTAATATAAAACAGTGCTCTGTTGTGTTTCATTCACCAGTTGTTTATTGTTTTCACACATTGATATTACAGTATATCACCAGTATATCAGACACATATGAGACTACGATCCACAACATATCAAAAAGTAAAGGATGAAAAAAACGTCAGAGAAAATAAGATCAATAGCTATCACTAAATCAGCTGGAAACCACGTGATTTCTCCCACTGAGAAATATTGTTCACTGTCACCATGACAACAGTTACAGTACGAAGATCCATAGATTAGACAGGGCTGTAATCGATCAGCAGAGTTAAGAAGAAACAGAACACAAACTGTACTTGGTTTCGTTTACTGTAAAATTAAGTAAGATTAGAGACAGCTGCAGAATGATGATGAATCATTTCTATAAATCATTAGTGGATTAACTTGATACTGAACATGTGAAACCTCAAACAAAACCTGAACATAAAACAAACTGAATTATAACATATGAGAAGAGTACGACAGAGGATTAGGGCCACATGAATTTTCTTTTTTTTTTGATTCTGACTTTGAGATTAAATTCTGGGATTTTTGTCATGTGACCTGTAGAGGAGGAGCAAGATTTATTAACTTAAAAACGTCACTTTTGACTTCAATCCTCATTTAATGTGAACAGTTTTAATGTTAATGCAACTTTAGTGATGATTCATATTCATCAGGTTCAGTTCTTTAAGCCTGTGATTGTCCATTACAGCTGAGCTGCATTCAACAAGCTACACTGACCTTCAGCCTGTTACCAAACCCTTCTGAACACACAAACATCAGAGCTCTGTTGAACGCACCTCCTTTTAATCTATGGCAGAACGGGCACACTGGCACTTTGATGGCTAATCACATGACCACTGAGGGGAAACAGATAAGGCACGGGCATGCATACACACACACACACACTGTACATGTTGCTGTTGTCCAATGAAAACTTGTATCTTCAAGGTGAGTTAAGAAAAACTGGTCACATTTTATTTTCTTTATTTTTTAAATGAGGTTTTGAATGGGTTGATGAACACTGACAACCTGAAGAGATACCATGTTTTCACCTGACAACACACAAACACACACAAACACACACACACACACACACACACACACACAAACAAACACACGCGCACACACACGCGCACGCACACACAGACACACGCACACACGCACACACAGAGCCCTAATTTTAAATCTTTTAACTACATATTTAAACCCCAACAGTTCAAACATGCTGGGTCCACATGAATTAGCATGTACACACAAGTAATCACACACACACACACACACCCATATATACACCACAATGAGCAGGGCATTGACATGAGTGGGAGTCACGACAGGTAAACATCAGATTTTTTTTTTTTGGTTTTTGGGGATTTTTTTTTAGGTGTTTTGGTGTTTTTCACTCATGTCATATTAGAAGAATCAGAACAGCATCACTACACTATGATTCACCTAGCACTGTTTGGCCATTTTTCAAAATAAATGACAACGGATTCAGTAAGCATTTGGCCTCTTGGAGTCTTCACATAGACAGGAAGGAAACAGCTGATTAGGGTCAGAGGTCAAACAGGTGACTGTTCCTGTAACGAAGTTATATATATATATATATATATATATACACACTTTGACACAGGAAACAAAGCTTTGGATGAGCTGAGTCTGGAGACCTGTGGCGTGACATGAGGAGACGCTGTTGAACTTAAGGCTTTGGAAAGTGAGTGAAGAGCAAACATAAAGCTTTAACAAATACTGAAGGGCCTGGAATCACAGGAAGTGAGAGACAGAAAGTATCAGTTGACTCTACGCACACTTCAGGAAGATGTTAATGTGACACATGATGATGATACTGAGGGTCAACAGTAACAACTTTGTGCTAAGAGAAGATATAAAGTCGAAAGGTTAAAGTCGAGTCCACGTCACTAAAAAACCTGGTTACTGTGTCTGTGGTGGATTCACCTGGACTGGGACCAGACTCTGGGTCAGCTTCAGTCCTCACTGCTGGTCTGTGTTAATACTCAGTGAATGAATGAACAATACTTCAGTGGCCGCAGGAGGATCTGAGCCTGGACCATGAAGACCGGACAGAGGTCCAGACCATCAACAGAGTCTACGAGTGGCACAAAGTATAAGGCAACTAAAGACACAAGTAAAAGTCTCATCAACAGTAACTTAACTTAAACTTAAAGAAGGACCAGCTTTAAACTTCATTACCCAGAATACCCTCTGGGCTGAAGTCAGAACAGGTACACTGGATGCTACATGTTTTTCTATTCACCACTTCCTGTAATGAACAGTAACCATGACAACACAACGCCCGTCATGACCCACATAAACATTTCCTACTGACCTTTCACATTTAAAGCCTACCAACACAGGAAGCACCAGTAGACTTTCACTGTGAAAAACGACTTCCCTCATAGAGTGAGTGATGAGGAGAGGACGGATGACATCACATTGAGCTCGTCATGACAACAGGTGAACATGGATGATGCTGAACTCTGTGTGTGCTACTATCAGCTGTTTGTCCCGTACCGTTACTATGGTGACAGCAGAGTTTAGTCAGTCATCATGAGACAGGGGAAAAGATCGTAATATTATTAATACAATAAGAATCACACATAACTTTCAGGGCCTAGTAGAGTACAGCAGTGAGTCCAGGTCCAGGTCCAGGACTACAGATTACACTACAGACTCACTCAGCTCCTGCTCCACTGCTTCATTTAATTACAGCATCTCACTGATTGTCCACGTCTGGGACCAGGAACACAAGTATGAACATGTGATCTGGACCGCAGCATCTGATCAGTTGGTGGGTGTGATTGGGAGGAATGTAGCAGCAAGAAAAAGGAAGTGAACCTTTAAATTATCTTCATCTTCATCTGATTTAAAAGTCAGTAGCCCAGTTAGCTAAGTTTGCTAACCTTTAGCTTAACATTGGGAACACACAGCCTGCGTTGGTTACTAGAATGTTGGATTTATTTTCATTGTTAATTAATTTCCGATTTATTTTTGACAGAAAATGTAAAACTGTTAAAATATATAGTTATTTTTTTCACGTCTTTGTCATATTGAGATCTGATTGTGAAGCAGGTGGAGGAGCATCACGACGTGGAGCTCTGCTGTGACTCAGATGAAGATCAGATCACTTTATATGAATGAGTGGGTTGAGTTCACATCCTTGTTGTTGCTGCTGCAGGTAACACAACCAGCAAACTGTGTGATTGTGTCACAGCTGCTTATGGAGTGTTAACTGTCACTTCCTGACTCAGTGTGACATCATGTTCATGTCAGCTGATTCAGCAGGAAACAAATGTGTCTTTATAAAGGAACATTTCTCCATCAGGTTTTAAACTGCAAGCCTGTGCTAGAAACTGATGAAAGACTCCACTACACTGCATTATGGAAAATGTAGTAGGATCCAGTGTTTTTGAGGAAGTGGAGGGAACATGTAGAGTTAATATCAGACTTGATGTTTCTCCTCATGACTAGAACTTGGTGTGCAGCTCTGAAAAAACTACAAAAAGAATCAAGAAACACAAGACTGTCCATTCAGACTTTGGCCCCGCCTCCATCAGTCAGATCAGTGACTCACCTGCTCATCATCGTGTTGAATTTAATTTGGCTGCAGTCTAACATATGAACCATTTCCAAACAAGGTCACCTGACCTCACACAACTGCTAAAGGGCCAATGAGAATGTAGAGACTGGTTGGAACTAAATGAAATGTGATTGGTCCACAGGATCAGGTGTTTTGACTAAGTGCTGTAGGTAGAAGTACCTGATGAAGCTCCTGATTGGTCAGTAGCTGGGTGAGTGAACTAAAGACTAAATGCTGAATTGGGGGTGGGGGGTGGGGGGGTGGTTCTGTTGGGGGGTCTAGGTGAAGACCAGATGCTGCTGGTCCAGCAGGGTCCTGGTGAAGTTGTTGATTGGCCCAATGGCGCTGAGCGACATGGCGTTGTCCCGCCCCCAGAGCAGGTTAGGACCGAACACCACAGCCAGGTTACTGTTGGTCATCTTATTTACATCACTGTTGGCTGACACCTACACACACACAATGATGTAAGTAACAGACACACTGACACACACACCTGACTGACAGGCTCTGATTGGACCAGCTGTACCTGAGCCAGGAAGGTGATGAGGTATCTCAGTGATGCGTAGTTTTCTTCTGGCAGTGACTCCACCAGCGTCTTCATCGCTGTCACCTGACTGTCACTGGACACAGCTGTAACACACACACACACACACACACACACACACACACACACACACACACACACACACACACACACACAGGTGAGCTAAAAGACCAGCTTCTTCAAGAACTTACTCTAGACCTGCTTCCTAAAGAACAGACTCCAGACCTGCTTCCTAAAGAACAGACTTTAGACCTGCTTCTACAAGAACTGATCCTAGACATGCTTCTCCAAGAATTGACTCTGACTCAGACCTGCTTCCTAAAGAAGACTCTAGACCTGCTGCCTAACGAACTGACTCTAGAGCTGCGTCTTCAAGAACTGACACTAGACCTGCTTCCTAAAGAACTTGACTCTAGAGCAGAGTGAGGTTCTTATCTTGAACGTACAGGTGAAGTTGACGATGTCGTTGTAGAGCTGGTAGGTGAGCAGAGGCTCAGGTAGCTCCCTCAGGAAGGTTTTCAGAATCACAGCAGCCAAGTGGACATCTTCCATCTCTCTGAAGTTCACTGCTGCTCCTACAAGAAAAAAAAACAAGCCATCAGGACTTCTTGAACTTTGTGATGTCACAGCAAAGCAGTCATCACTCTCAGCCACACCCAAGCACCGCCCACCTGGACCCACCATCCAACCTTGCAGGATTTGGTTTCTCTGAGTGTTTACCTGAAATCTGCTACATTTTTATTAGGTCACTCAGAAAACAGTCAGCTTCCTAAGGAACAGACTCCAGACCTGTTTCCTAAAGAACTGACTCTAGACCTGCTGCTACTGGGACTGTTGCCTGTTACCTGAGTTGTATTTGAGCTGAACCTCCTTCACCAGAGTCACGTTGGCTGACCGTCTGAAGATCCCCTCAATCTCCAAACCTGACACACACACACACACAGAAAACAACAAGGCAGTTGAAATGCAGTAAAAGTTCATTAGTGTGTCATGTTTTTGTCTCTAGCAACACAGAGGAAGAAGAGTCACCTTGCTCTGATAGGAAGCTGACTGTATCTCTTATGACCACAGGAACTTGATCACCATCTGGATTCCTCTGTCTGAGCCTGACACACACACACACACAAACAAAGGTTAGGATAACAGAAGCAGTGTTATCATACCCTCAGTGATCACATTATTAGGAACGCCAAAGTCAATCTCCTGTTCCACCACATCCCACAGGTGATCTAGGTGCATGAGTAAACAGATGCACAAGTGAGTCTACTTACAGTGTGAGTGGAACTCCAAACACCTGGTTGGGGAGAGGGGGACTGCGAGGAGGAGACATGGGGGGCTGGGCAGTTGGTTTCAGAGATGCTCTCAGCTTGTTGTCGTACCTGACACAGAGACCAGGTAAGATTGTCAACTGATTTGGATTATAAATGTTGTGTACTGATGTTCCTGAAGGTAAATATGTTTAGTTTCAGATGATTTCTGGGTGAAATGTGTTCTAACATCAGCCTCTTACTCTTTGACTCGGGCTGGGATGAGCAGCTGTTCACACTTCACCACATCCTCCAGTTCACTCAGGTAGCTCACGTAGTTGATCTTCCTGCCAAACTTAAAACTACAGAGAGAGAGAGAGAGAGAGAGAGAGACCAAAACATCGACACATGATTCGTCATCTTGTGATCTGCTGTGTCAGACTGACTGTCTGAACCTCTGTCGTAACATCTGGAACATCATGATCGTGTCCTGTCATGTTGTTAGAAAATAACTTCTCATTCATAAACATGTCACTGTCACACAGGCACCATGAAGCTACACGTGTTTCCAGGTAATTTTACTCCTGTCACATGGCAACATGTCACTCTCTGGTAGAGCTGAACCTGCAGCTTCCATCTTTTCAGCTGTGACAGTTTATTCTTCTCCTTTTCTTTATGTTATAATAAACTGAATATCTTTATTTCTCAACTGTTGGTCAAACAAAATGATAAAAACTCAACATGTTTCAACCTTTATAAGCTTTAAAAAACCAAATGATTAAATGAGAAATGAATCAGCATATTAATCCATGATGGCTGCAGGTAAAGTACTGACTACAGCACTGACACAGATTGTCAGGACTGAATTTATTGAAAAAAACTTATTGAAAACAAGCTATGAAAAAAAGCCTATAGTTTTACTCAGTAATAGAACCTGGGGCAACTGGTCCAGCAACTTCTAAAACCATCTCTCAGACCCCATCCTCTGACTAGACTCTAATTAATGATATACAGGAGACATTATATCTATTGAACAGCTACACTTCCAACAGTTTTGCTGTAGTTTC